ACCTGACCTAACAAAGAGGGGGGGGGGGGGGGGGGGGGGGGGGGGGACACAGCGCGCGAAGCTTCACCGTAGCGACAATTGGCCAATCAGAGCCCTCTATTTTGAGAGATGGAAAAGCAAAAATGGCGGAGAGAAATGAGAAGGCAAGTGATAGATTTCTTAGACTTTGTAGTATTTATTTGTATGCTTTTGGAATGAAATCTTGTAGGATTAAAGTGCATGTCATATTGAAGGTGTTATAAAAATTTGATTTCAAAATTTTGCTTTTGAGAATTTTTATGCTCATTCGTATTCGTGTGTAAATTTTGATATCAGTTCATTTTGTCTGAAACTGCTTGCTTTATATTTCTATCGTTTACTCTTTAAATAAATGGGATCTCGTGTTGAAACTATAACGGAAAGTAATTGAGGAAATTTCCGTTCATGTGATATGAGGGCTCCCCAGGGCTCCCCAGTACTTTTTGAGATATAGAGACTCAAAGTCATGCCTTTTTGAGGTAGTCGTCGTTGCAGCTGGCTTAGTTCTTCTATCATTTGAGATAATATCAGCTGAGGATGATTCACATACATAGTAGCTGCTGTATATTCTTATTACTTTCTTCACACTTCATCGAACCCACTCAATTCCAAATGGGCCCTTTTTCCGTTATTTTTCAACACCACTTGCAAAACGTATTTCTAAAACGATTTTCCATTGAAGTTTTTGTTTTGTTGGGAAAAAGAAAAGGTATACAGCTGTATGACAGTGACATTAGATGCAATAGAACTACTTCTTCATTTATAGATTGGCACTTTTTCACCGAAAAAGGAAGGAATTTGTCGTTAAACAAACAAATATATCATTTTCTAATATTCTAATGTCCGTATACTCTGTCCTAATATTTTATTTAGTTATGTTGAATGATTCCTTGAGAAAGCTTAAAATTTTGATTGTTTACATGAGGGTAATAATAGGTTTGAATAATCACAATCCGATTTTTTTTTGCTCGATACTCAGTGTTGACCACCAAGACAGTAGACGTTTTGCTGATCAGATAGACGAACATTTGCTTTGTATTTGATTACATTTTGAAAATACTTAAAATATACGCGAGAAATTTACATAAAAACTGTGACACTTGCAGGGCTTACAGGGTCTGACTCTCGTCTGGCTCTGCACACACAAGCGGACAAGCTAGTAGCTTCCTCAACTAAAAGAAAGGTTTTCTTTTTCGACACTCAACATCTATTATACTTTCATAGTTTCCATCTCGTCCCTATAATACGAGTTTTAGTAAACTTACATTTGCTTTCAAAGCTTCTAGTGTTTTGTACGGCTTAGTTGAAACCAATTCACTGGCTGTTTGCTAAATATTTTTTGTCTTTTATTTGATTATTTGAGTAACACATATTCTGCCAGCATTCCGTTTTCATAAGTAGTAGGATTTAGTAATACTTTCAATTCTTGTTTAAAAAAATATATAAATAGGCAAATTCCTAGCTATCATTTGAGTTGAGAATACTCATTTTCGTGTGAAAATCTTTGTACTTCGTAAAACTAGGGCACAAATAGTTAATAGCTTTACCTTTAAAATTTTATTCATTCATTCGAGAATATGTATGTCAGATCGTAAAAAAAGCTAACTAATTTTCTGTGTTTCCATAAACGTTTGACAATCTTCGCGTCTCTTTTTTGTTTACATCAAGTTTTATCTCGGGAGCTCTTCACTTCTCGACGTCCAGCCGCAAATGAAGAAGAGAGTTTTACATTTTGTCCCTTGATGCTTCGCGCGCTGAGTCCAACCCCCTGCTAGTAAATAGGAAAGACGCCCCAACCTCGCATATTTCTACTTTAAACACAAGTTTTAAAAACTAACTAATTATTTGGTTATATCTTATAGTTCTGGGGGAAATTTGGACGATCATTTTTTTCCAGTAAAATATGGCATATTCATTTGACAGCGTTCCATGTCTACATTGTTCGCGCGTTTTTAACGTAAAAAGGGTTAGCTTCCACGCATTCTGAAGGCTACAACGAAGTCAAGGACCCCCAATATAAATTCTAATTTGCTTATTTTACTTCTAGTATGATGTAGTTTCTTCAGGCAAATTGTTAAAAAATCTGACGATGGGAGCTTTTGCCCACTGATGAACGTCCTTAAAAACCGACTTTAGTAAATGTCCTAGATTACGTACTATGCTCAAAAAGGAACTTACTCACCTACTGCGATTACCATCAGCGCTTCGGTTGGCCAAAATACGGAAAGTCGTACAGCGTTTTTTGAGCTTTTAAAAACACGCAAACTTTAGATAAAGCTGACACTTCCTGAAAATTAATCCACGAGCAACATTAATGGACTTAAATTACCGTTAAATTCATTCTCGAGCTTTTGTCGTAACCAAGATTCGAAGATATCTTTATTCAAATGTCGTTTATGCTTTATTGAGAGCGCTTTTAGCGAGAAGATTAGGTTTCTTTGGATTTTGTTAGACTTCCTGTTTCTGAAGAAACTTCGCAGTTATTTTATTTCAATCTAATGGGTTTATCACAGGCAGTCCAAAAAATACAGTTATCAGTAATGTGCGTCATTATAACAGAATGTATTAGAATCATGATAGAAATTTAAAATAAATGATATCACTATATAAATTGACCGGTATAAAGCACTCTTGGAGTCATAGTTTGTACGTTCATTGATCTGCTGACAAAGTTTCAGCGCGAAGTGAGGCTTCTGAAATGGTTGCCCTTTTCAAGGTACAAACTGTGACTCAAACTGAGCTATTCAGAAGAATTATAGTTATCTTAGAAATTCTATTAATACACTCCATAAAAGTCCCATACATTCTTATATAAATCTTGCACAAGAACATGGATTGTTTGGGCCGCCTTGTAGGTCAACATTCGTCTACATGTTTTGTGCGATTTAAGATTTTTAGAACAGGTCGCAAAAGTCAAATTATAATATTTCCACAATTATGACAGGGGTTGAGAACTACAAAGAACTTGATTTGTAAGTTGTTTTGAAATAAAGTTCACAGTCTTTCAAAGTTAAAAATTATAAGAATGAAGTTCGAACTCGATTGAATAATAACCGAAAAAGAAAACTTCAAAACAAATTATTGTTTATTTTGGGTAACGTGCACAAAATTGAATATCAAACAACACTGACCATGTGAACAGCAAGTGTGGTATCGTCTGCAAACACTCCGTCAGACTTAAGGACGTTCATGGGCAAAAGATTCCATCGTCAGATTTTTTGAAAGAACATGTTACTAGAAGTAAAATAAGCAAATAAAAAATGGGGAACCCCTACTTCGTTTAGCCGTCAGAATACGTGGAAATTCACCCTTTTTAAAGTAAAAACGCGCGAACAACGTAAACATGGAAAGCTGTCAAAAATAAGTAATATTTTATCGGAAAAATGAATTCGTCGTCCCCATTTTTCACCCGAAGACGAGAAAATAACCAACTAATAGGTTAGCATTTGAAATTTGGGTTAAAAATTAGAAATATGAAATGTTATTGTATAAGCGCGGACTTGAAGCCTTTGCATTACGTGAAATTCTATTCCAGTTTTACACAAAATATGTAATTTGTATATTTGATTCCATCGTAAGACATTTTTAATTTTTCCTATATTATAAGTATTACCGAGTACTTTCAAAAAACGAAATAAAAAGGGGGTGCCCGAATTCATTTTAGAGCTTTAAGAGATTTTAATCTTCAAAAAGACGTTTTTGTGAGATTTTGCTTATCAAAACATTGGAAAGACGTCATCACGATGAGTGTGCGCGCACTAAATTCATGCGTAGAAAGGATGCGCGCGAACAATGCCCATGAACGGCTACTGTAATAGCAAATCATTCTACTTCTACTTTTCGCTTTCAATATTTTTTTAGGAAAAATCCCACCAGTTTTATATCATTTTTATTTGATACATTGAGCGTCTAAAAGATTAATTTCGAAAAAAATTAATTGCGAAAGCAATATGTCTGCATACATGCACAATATTACTATAAACAAAACTTTAGTAATAAAAGATACTGTAGAAATTATTTCATGATATTGACAACCTTTAAATTTTAATTGGAAATCATTTTTGAAGCTTTCAAATACAAATACACAAATGATAAGATTCTGCAAATTCAAACCAAAATGATTGAAACTCAAATCCTACTATAAGCTAATAGTAACTCAATATATCCGCCGAGCGAAGACATTTTGGTAATATGATTGGAAATTAGGATTTGATGCTAAAGACTTTTAAAATTCGACTTGAAAAGTTATATAGCAGAATAAAGTTCAGTTATAAAAGTATGAAAATTGGTTAGGGGAAAAGTATGCAATACTTCGCGAATAATTAGAGAATTGCTAGGCGGCTAAGCAAAAAAAAAAAAAAAAAAAAAAAATTTAACCCGCGACGTACCTTGAAAAGTCTCTTAAAGTTGTTACAGTGGGCTTCAATTGTTGGGATAGCATGGCGAGCAATTACGACGTTAAATAATTTAGGAATTTATCTTTACTGAAATTAAATCCTAAACTCTTCTTAATGGAAAAAAATGGAGACCAAAAATAAGCATCGATAATGGTTAAGGGCAAAAAAAAAATTGTGAAGGCCAAATATCAAAAAACGTACCTGTCTTCCAAATCGGAATTCTTTCGTTTTACGGGAAGTCCAAGTGACTGGTCGAGGCATGTTTCTATTATTTATATACATTGAGCAAAGTGACGAAAAACTCGAAATAATTATAAAAACAATAACATTGTCAGCGGCAGCTACAAATTCTGGCCTATCAAACATTGTTTTCATAAACAGCCCATAAACAAGAATTTAGTATTCAAATAAAATTAAGATTCTAACCCTTAGAAGTCTGTAAAGATTTTGGTAGATTTGTTTAATTGATTTTCAAAATATTGAACTTTCCCCTAAACTTAAATGATTTCTATTGATTTTAATGTAAAGTTTACAGTAGCGAAAGTAAGTCGAATTGGACATTAGTTGTTTCAAAGCGAAGGTTTTAAGAAAAAGCTATCAATAATGCAGTTTCTATAGGAGATTGCGTTAAATCTCCGGAAAATAAGAAAGAAATCAAAATGTATTTCAATTGAAAGCTGAAAAATTTCGAAAAATAACATTCATCAGTTTTACTTAGCTGTAATATTCAAGTTAAATGAGATTATTAATTCTAACGAAAATGGACTTTCGCAAATTTTTAAATATCAGTCAAGAGCGAACAAAACCAACGTGGACCTCAATTTATATTAAATTAAATTTAAGCAGAAAATAGAATTTTACATAAATGTATGTGTTTTTTTTATTTATTTATTTAGGGTCTTTAAATAGAACGTGAGAAATTGTTTTATTCTATTAACTCGATCGACGCATTTAAATTTTAAAGAATCTTCAATTTATTCATTTGATAAAATCTAACAAATTAGATCACCAAAGGGACTAAATTGACCTCGTGTTTCTACAATCCTATCACTCTTTCCATATATCTTCCTACAGACTTTTAAATATGGTGGAATAAGAAGCGAGTGCTCAGTTTTTTTAAAGGACTAAAATTTAAGTTAAGAAATAGTAATTTTATTTTTGGAAGCGGAAATTTTTCATTCGCCCGTTGCCAAAATTGTCCAACTGATATTCCAAATTCACGCTTTTTTTACGTTCGATTAAATATTCTCGACCAAATTCACCATTTTTCACCAGAACCTTATGTTGAACATCTTTAGTTGTAAAGTTGGAGAATAAAATTGAAAAGTTCTAACCTAGAATAAATATCACTGTCACTGTCGGCCTCTGAGATTCCAGCCTTGAAGTTTATAGAGCTACCACTTTTAATCATCCCATTATTCGAAGTTTAGCTAATCAATTTCTAAGATATTGCTGCGAGCCTTCACCATAACGAATTGTACTGTGCATTTAGTCTGTTAGGTTAATCATCAATTTCCCCGAGTAAAATTTTAAAATAATTTTTGATTTTTGGTACCGGGTAAAAAGATTTTTAAATGGATGTGGCAAGCAAAGCGTGGGCGCGGAGTTGCGATCGCGAGACCGCATGCTGACAAAACTATTTTAACAAATAACCCTTTTTTAAAGTCATTTATCAGAAAAACCAATTAAGGGGATAAAGACGATGGAATTTGCTATAAAGCTGTAGCACACAGGGCATTACACGAACTATATAAATAATTCTAAAGACATTTTACGCTGCTCAGAGTAGTCTTTGGAGTAATATTTAACGATATTTCTCATACTCTTTAATTATTCACGAGGAAACCAGCCAATCAATGGGCTATTTTTTGGGTCACATGATGCTACTTGAAACCTGGTAAAGTCCTGTAAAATCTAAAGCCGCAGAGGGATTTGATATCAGCAGGGAAGAGCTGGGGCTGAAGTCCAAGGACTTGAACAAATTTAATTTAGCCCTATTGCTGAATAATATATCACGACAATATCACTCGCTTTATTTAACTTATTTTATTGAAATCATATTGGGTTACATTTTCAATTGATTAATTGTTACATTGCAGTTGCCACTAATATCAATAGGCCCATGAGATGCATAATCAGTCCAAACGTGTAGGATATTAGAAGCTGAAGCTTCTCGCAAATTGTTATCATTTAACAAAGAATCTATATCTCCTACGTCAAAAACAGGCAACTCTAGATCATCATGAACGATACTTTCATATAGTTTCATAAATCTCTTTCAAATTCTCTTTGGTATTTACGGGTGGATTCAAAATATTGGATACCTTAAGCTCTTGCTCTTTGCTACTTTTTTCATATCCTAACAATGCATTGCTAACATGGCCACTTTGGCCTCTAATAAGCTTCTCTTCCACTTTTCCAGTAAACAACTTAGTTACACAAGTTACACGAAGACTGTTACTAGTCTTTCTTTTCAACCCGATTGCCGAGCACAAATTAGGCAGAATTACATTAAGAGAATGAATTCCTACAGGGCAGTTCTTAAGGTGACTGCCTACTTTTAGAAAACAATTTTTTTTAATTTCGATTTTCCGAATTTCAATTTAATGATGATTTCAAATCTGGAAAGACAAATTGGGTGTCCCGAGCTTGTTTCAGAGATAATCAGCATTTAATGGAAGCCTACGCGCGAGCTTTTGGAGAAAAACTTGCGCCACCGGAAGTGAGTAGAAAAATTAAGATTCATAAGATAATAGTTATTTGCAGACTATATGATTGCACGAATGAAAGCTAGTCAATCTACAATAATACATAGATATTTTTGACAAAAAGACAAGGAGGAACATTGATTTCTCATATTTTGTAGTTTCGGTGCTCTTAAAAAGTCGAACAAAAATCCCTACAAAAATCTATTTTTTCATGTGTTAGAAATATAAACTTTTTCTAAAATGTTGATATAACCTAGATTTTAAGGAGTTTTTTYGAGTGAGTTATTATTACGTTTTCCATCGCTCAAGAAGAACTTAAGAAAATAGCTCTCAAAGCCTTGTTTAAGCTCCGTAAGGATATGGGCGATCACTTCAGAACAGATATAGATCTCACAATACGACTTTTCAATAGCTTAATCAAGCCAATCTTGTTATATGGTAGGTGTGGAAACAAAGAAAAATCTAAATCTAGATCCACTAGAAAAAGTGCAAATAAAATTTGGTAAAATGCTTTTAGAAGTAAGTAAAAAAGCGTCCAATAACGCATGCCGAGCAGAATTAGGGATCTTCCCAATAAGAGTTTACGCAAAATTAAGGGCAATCAAACTTTGGATAAAATACATGAACCGTGCAGATACTGATAAAGTAAAACTCTCAGATCAGACAATATCTGATAGTTTCTTAGAGAGTTCGAACAATTTGAGATGGAAAGAGAAAATAAAATTAGCCCTTGATAAGTTAGGTCTAAGCTATTTATGGCAGCAAAATACAAGTGAGAGAATGACTGACTACCAATTAACTAAGCTGATGAAAAGCATTAGACAAAGAATTGAAGATCAAGAATGCAACCATGCGCAAGAGCGTCCTCTTTCCTTTACGTTATGCCCGCATGCCCCTTGGTATACGGATGAACTACGGTTACTGAAAAGACAGAAGCAACGAGCAGAGCGCAAGTTTTTATCGACTCGCTTTGGCGGTAAAAGTCTTTTGGCAGATATATAGGGACAAGTGTACAGAATATGCTGATGCTCTTGATGTTGCTAAATCTTGTTATTATCGTGAGAAGATCTCGACTGCTGACCAAAATCTTTTTCAGATGATATGTGGTCTTTTTCTCGTCAGACCTGTGCGTCCTTTGCCGTCACATACCTCTCTYTCCTGTCTGGCTGAGAGTTTTAACAAGTACTTCCGTAACAAAATACACAATCTCAGGAACTCTCTTCTGAAATCAAGCCTGAGGTCTGAAGAGTTGTCAATGTCACTGTAATCCACCATTTGTTGCAGCTTATTCAGTAGCTTTTCTCCTATATCTGGGAGCTACATTAGCGATGTGATTTCACAGTCTAAACCAAAATCTATGGTTTTGGAGCTACCACGGTTGTAAAACAGTGCATTGATGAACTTGTCAACCCTTTGATAAACAATGCATCTTTGATGTGTGGGATATTTCCGAAACTACTGAAGAAGGGAGCTGTGCGTCCATTATTAAAGAATCCCAAGTTAGACCACGATCAGTACTTCAGCTACCGTCCCATTACAAATATTGCTTTTGGTGTGGTGTACCACCAATGGTCTCAGTTGCAACGCGGATAAGACTCAGGCTATCCATCTTACTTCACGCTTCCGTGCCTGTGACGCAATCTCAACCTTACAGATTGGCGGTGAAATCATTTCACTTATACCACCGTCAAGGGAACTTGGGGTGATAGTTGTCAACCATCTGACCCTAGACAAGCACATTAACAGCATATGTAAATCTGCTTCTTTTGCCATTAAGAACATTGGAAGGATCAGCAGATTCCTGACGCAAGCAGACTGTGAGAAGATCGTACACGCCTTTATAATATCGAGGCTAGACTATTGTAATGCTATCCTGCATGGGTTACCAGACTCGCAACTGGACAAACTACAACGCATACAGAACACGGCAGCTAGATTAGTCATTAGGTCTAGAAAACACGAACATATTACACCTGTTATTCGTAATTTGCATTGGTTACCAGTTTCTAAGAAGATTAATTTTAAGATCTTATTGATTACATTTAAGGCTCTAAATGGTCAGGCTCCTAGTTAAATTTCTGATTTAGTAGTTAAATATCAACCAGAAAGAAATCTAAGATCATCTATAGCTCTAGTTTATTAGTTGTTCCTAAACTTCTAGGTCTAAGACATATGGAGACCGATCTTTTTCCGTAGCTGCTGCTAGGTTATAGATCTCGCTACCATACAACGTTAGGACTGCTAGTACGATTTTCTCGTTTAAATCAGCGCTTAAAACTTATTTGTTCTCATCCTGATTTTTTCCCCCTCAAAAATCAATGATATTGTTTTTGTTTTTTTTTTCTCAATGATATTCTATATTCTCATTTATTGTTTTTGACTCTTAGGACACTTATGTAAGAGCATTGAGTTCTAATAATGCTCAGCAACTATTTATTATTTAGGCTTCATTTATTTATTATTAAGAATTTCAAATTTGGCTTGCAGACATACATAACGATTCGGGAAGAAAAGATTCACAGAAAAATGAATTAAGAATAT